ATAGATTAGAGAATGACATTCAAAGTTTAATCATTAATAATGACCAATAAGAAATTATAACTATTAAATTCGCTAACATATGACATAAAAACTATTCATCTTTCTTGTAGAAAAACTGATTCAATTTCGATTGATTGATTATACAATAAATAAGTATAAAAATGTTGTCCAATGTGAGAGCTAAAACTATAAATACTTTTAAATTATTACGACTTTTAAAATAAAATATTTTTTAAAAGGAATTTCGGTAAGTACGCCTCAGTACATATTAAAAAATTAATTGACTACATAAAATTCAAAGAAAACAAAGCATTAAATATTAGAAATGTCTTTTTTAATATTTAATGGGTCTTCGTGTTTCTTTTTTAATATTCAGTGTGTTTTTCAGTTCATACTGGGGGGGGGATTGACTTCATAAAATTCAAAGAAAACAAACCATTAAACATTAAAAAATCCTTTTAAAATACAAGTTCCCCCTTTTGTGCAAATTGATAAGGCTGAGTTATCTGCTAATCATGTAGATAAAGGAAGGATATAAAAGGAAGATTATTTGGAAGACTCGACAAAATGTTATTCCTGTGGATATTTTCGGAAGAACAGTATAACTGCATAGATATATTTTATTTCAATAACAGTATGTTTTTCGAGTTTATCGGGACATTGTGGTTAGACGTTATGATAAATGCTCACGTGGTCATAACATGATGACAATATTTTTGAACTCTAGCAAACCTTCCATTGTGCAACGCGAATTCTTTGAATTTGACTTAATAATGTAAATAATTTTTATATAAAATATTTTAGGTGCTATTAAAGCACAAATTGTTTTATTCAGAAAGAAAAAGAATTTAGTGGTCCAAGGTAATTTTAGAAAGCTGAATTATACAATGAACTTAAAAAAATTGCGTACATCTTTTATTCTAAGAATTTTTAAAAGTGAATCTTATGCAATGTTATATAGAATACTCAGTTATTCGGTTCAGTACTGTAAAAACAAAATTTTCTCCATTTATTTAAAATCATAATGAAACCAATTTGTTTATTTACCGAATAAATTACATTATTTTTTTTGTGAGCATTAAATTTCCAGTATTTTTTCTTATTTTGATATATTAAATTGAAGAATACGGCATGATCGAAAACTGAAGCAGGGATAGCTGTAAAACAACTTTTCGAGAAGCCATATGAAATACCTATATTCTATATACATAAAATAAGAAATCGATAATGTTTCTCATTTATTAAGATATATTTTGCGTTTCTTTTACTCTAAATATTTCGACATTATTTAAAATTTAATAATAAACTGGACCTTATTTTGCTGACCAGTGCCACCCAATGCAAGAGATTTACAAAAACCGTTTTATCCCCAAAATGGCTGTCTTTAAATTTATAAATATAATCAATACAGAGAAACCTCTTTAAACCCTTTTATGAGTATTCCCTTAAAATTCATTCCATTTAATATAACACCATTTTTACAAATTCCTAAGTATCTAAAACACTTCACAATTCGTTTTTCCTTGTTCAAACTATTTTTACTACCGCTTTTCATACCATGTTGAGTTTACGTTTTGCTGTATTCAGTTTTCATTTTTATAATCTTAATTTATCTATAAGATAGTACCACAACCTAAATTTCTCTCGCTGTTGCTCATATGCATTCTTTACGGTAGCTGATAACGTAGACGAAAATGAAATTTATGCAGCTATTTCTACAGAAAATGAAAAACTGAAACACTAGCTCAAGTTTTAGAAGCAAAGAATTTTTAAAAAAGAGTAAAATAGCGAAATGAACGCAAAGGATTAGGAAAAATATTAGCGGAAATGAAAACAAATTTCTATGTGTAGATATATCGAGGCGTACAATAATTTTATCTCTAAACGAAACAACACTGAAGGATTATAATAAACTGAGGAAAATAAGTTTTTATTACTAGCTTGCTATGTAATTGAGTCGAATCAGTTCCTGTTTTAAAAGAATTAAAAAGCAAGTTAAATAATTCTCTCTTTCTCTGTTAATGAAAAAATATTATAGGTTAAAATATTTCTTAGAATGGGTTTTAGAAATTTCTTTGTAAAGCTATTAGGTTTTATGGAGCAAGAAATGCGACAGATCGATTATGGCTCTGATCAATTTGGACCACGGATCTTCCCATTGTTAGCCAGCTATGCTACCAGTGACACCGTAACAGCACGAGTAGGACAAGAGCATAATTCCACATATTCTTCCCTCCTTAAAGGACAACTAAGAGAAAGATAAGAGAGAGAAACGAGACTAAGACGGCTAAATCCAGTTGGTGACAAATTAAATATGCACCGCATATTAATCATGCGGCACTGTAGAGCTGTTAGGTTTTCGTAGCGAGAAACGTGACAAATCATTGCTCCTTCACCAGGATTCCATCCTCGGATTTTCATATCCTAACCGGACATACTACCAATTACATCCCGAAAGTACGTAAAGGGAAACCTTATAAGTCCTATATATATGACCTTCGTTTTCATTTTGCTTCAAACGAAATGTACTGTTGAAGATTTGATAGTATTAACAATCGTTTTAAATATAATTACAATTGCGCATCTGTAACAAACTTACATTCACAATCTAGGGAACAATGGTTATTATGATTCTGAATTACAAATAGATAATTGGATTTATTTATGCCTTAAAGTTTTCATTTTATTGATATGGAGCTGCGGATCTTTAATCATGACATTTTTCTTTATTTTTTTATCATAATAAAAGTCATACAAACATATTTATAAAAATAGAAATTCTGTGTCGCTTTAAAATATCTTTCAAAATTTTATTACCAAGTTTAAAGAATTTTATAAATGTGTGACGAATTAGAAGTGTTCACTGCATATTATAACATAGCTTCTTTAATATTCTGATCATTTTAATAGAAAATAAAAAAAATTCAAACTGTTATAATTACACCAAACGCCTGCCTTCTGCTTGGCATTAGGTTTAACAGAAACTCTACCGATTTTGAGAGCGAATGGGTACAGGCCTTTTTTTGTCTGAAGCGAAACAAAATCTGCAGAGCAGGGAAGAGCCACGACTGTATTTGTGACTGCTTTGTTTTTAACCCAAAAACAAAGAGCTCTGACTATATTTGTACCAAAAACAGAGTCACGACTGAATTTAATGCCATAAACTAAGTCTTTATTTATACATCGCTTGGGTAAATAGACTGGGATATGGTGAAAATGAGATAAATACATTGCAGTATCTCTAGATTTTAAATAAATGAGGTATTTGTATTATTATTTAACTATACATTTTTGCGTTTTAAATTTGGGTTTGTCTCCATTTCGGAAAGAAACAACTTGTAGCAAGTAAAACTAAATTTTGCTCTTAGTTTTGGTTTTACTTACTTATCAAGTACAAAGTTGTTCTTATCACAGAAGTCTTTAAATAAAATAATGCAACTGTCCTTTTAACGTTTGTTGTAGATCAAAAGCACTGCATTGATTTATTTGGAAGATAGATTTTTTTGTTTTTTACCTATAATACATAACTAAAAAACGTTTTTAGACCTATATATTAAAATCAGGCTGAACGCCTAGATAAGAAGACAGCAAGACAATTTTATTTAGAGAATATGACCCCCACCGAAAAAAAAAAAAAAAAAAAAAACGTGCTACTAAAAGAAACACATAAATCTAATTCTCACATATTCTTTCATTAATTTATTGATTTGTATTAAACAGCCAGAAAGCTTACTTTTTTATAAAGAACTGCCAAGGAGTTTTGTTGCGCTTTTAGTTTAATAAGTATTTCAATTTCTATGGTTTTTATGCCAAAAATTTCAAAGAATGTCATGAGTGTTTAAAATCAGTTATATATAATTATTGTAGAATAACAGAATACAATTTTTTCTAAAACAAATTAATTTAAGCATTTTTTCTGACAAATTAGCAGCTGAAATAAATGGTTTACTATGCCAAATATGAAAAATAATTACGCTTTTAATTTTAGTAACTTTTCTAAAAATACTTATATTCGAAAATAATAGACAAAAATATCCTTATATGTAAGTGCACACAAACGTTTGTAAAGTCTCAATTAATAGATTGTAATGTATCATAAAATATAATAATTGGTTTCCAATTTTACTAAGATTTTAGGTACATATTGGTTTCCTATCAAAAACAATGTTCAGTTTGATGCGCATTTTAAATTTTTCTTAATTATTTATAATTTTTTTTATTAATTTTTAATTAATTAAAGGAAACAGAACAAAAAAGCTTAGTCAAATATTATTTTGAACTATAGAGTAATTGAAGTATAAATTAAGATATTTCAATTAAAATATAAAACAAATTTCTGCAAATGAAAAAGTCTCTTTTATTTTATTTTTTTTTTTCGTTGTAAATTAAAGGACCCGCATTTGTTCACTCAGAAGCTAGAATTTTATCTTTTTTTGAAAAATAAAATTTTATTCTTTATAGAGGTGTTTTAATGCTTTCTTATGAAAATTAGGTTAAACGCACAATTAAAAAAAACTATAAACTTCCTTTCCGATAATTTCGATAGTAAATGTAAATAAAACAAAAATGGCATAGAAAAAGTGTTTAGTAGTTATAAAGAATATTTTCGAAGCCAGATTCTTTTTAAGCTATTATTTTTTTTATTAGCCGAATTTCTTAAATTTCCTTTTTAACTTTGTGAATCCAAGATTTATTAATCGAATTCTTTAAAAGAAATTTTCAAAAGCCGATAAATATAAATAATACTTTGAAAAACAATTAAAACTTAAAAAAAAATATTAAACAATATTTATAATGGTTATAAATATAGGAAATGTCAATCCGCTACATTTTTGTTCTTGCCAAATATATCTATTGAAAAAATTACTCCGCCGTTTGTTTCAAAATATATAAAGTCATATAATATAAGGAATACAAGATGTAGATATCCTGGAGAAGTTACATTTTACAAAATATATCATATGAATTTTGTTTTAATAAGAAAACATGAGTTTACATACCACAGGTACATCGTGTCTCATTTGTACCCAAAATAGGAGACTTTTCATTTAATTCTGCATCCAGACTTTGATATTTCGGCTTCATTGTCATTTTACTTGCAGGAAGACAAATATATCAACCGATGCTTTCTTATCGCAGGTGAACAGATACTATGTTCCCGAATGTGATCACAAAATACATCTACTCTTATTTTTATAATCACCGTCACTCAATAATACGGGTTGAATGGAAGCGTGCAAGTATGAGATGACGACAGATCGCCCAGCGGGAAAAGAGAAATAAAATGAAACCACTCGTTACATCAGTGAATGTGAAATTATGATATGCGAAGCGGTGCTTTTATCGATAGACAATGTTTTCTAACTCTCTACCGTGAAGTTAGAAACTGATAAAATCATCGTGTGAAAGTCCCGCTTCGTGGACCTTAGATTTTCGAATCGAACTGTCGTTTATTCGTTAGAGTCTAGAGTACTACTCATGATTATACTTGTATATGTCTGTTGCTATGTCATCAAAGGTGTTTGTTCAGCGGACGCGTACCGTTTGCGTATTAATCCCTCCCATGCATTTTACATAACTATTGCTGATCGTAATTAGCGTCAAACAAATTCTTTGCATATGTAGTAGAAGCCCAGTCATTCTAATTGAACTGGACGAAACTATACTGAACAATTCTTTCTTTCTTTCTTTTTCTTTTTTTTTTTTTCATTATAACTATGGGAACTATTTTAGGTAAATAAAAGTAGAAACAATTACGAAGAACTCTGACATACAAAAAATGAGGTTTAGTGAGGCTATTCATACATTTACATAATTAAAATAATGAGTTTTTTATTCTAATTTTGTTTTAATTGTAACATAGCATCAGTTGCACTCTAATATGTTAAGTCACGGTAATTTTCACATAAAGAAATAAGTAAATAAATAAATCTGACAGAGTTAAGATTTTAACGTTAGCCCGAAAGGGTTCTTTTAAAGTTTAATATGGTTGATCAGCAGTTATTATCAATAAAGATGACCCAAACAGAACAGTGAAATATTTTATAGGATATTATATAAATATTCATTTAGAACAACATGGGAAAGTTATATATCTTCTGTATATTTAAAAAATGAAAAAATATATAACGAAACTCTATAAAGATATTTAATGCTTTTAATTAGGTATATCATGAATTAAATGCATTTTTTATTTATTCAATATAACTGCGCTTTGAAATCGTCTAGTTTTTAAATCAAAAATTATTTGAAATATTACAAAATCTGAAATCGATAATAAAACAAATTTCAAATTCGAATTAGGGCTTCCACATGCCCATATTTTATGGAAGATTACGCTATTCAAATTGTGATAGCGCTAGGTACCGTGGTTTTATCATAATGCGAGAAATATACATACATCTATGCAGATTCTTCATTATTTAATTTCTTTAAATATAAGACAGGGCGATAATATATGGTGGCAACGATTTGAAAAGTGATAGAGCCTTTTAAAGTTTTTAACGCAAAATGCCGAAACAAAATTAATAGTCCTTCAGGGTTGCCACTATTAGAAAAACGCATTTCAACGTATGTGTATTTAATTTAGAAAAACTTCAAATTATACGTAAAATGAAATTAAAAGAAAAAGCTCGAAATATCCTATACCTAAGTAACCATGAATTCCTAGTTTTAGTTTGCTTGCCTAATCAAATATCGCAAAGCATGAAAATTCTGTCAGTGGAAGGAGTGCCTTAATCTCTTAATAAAAATTTGCTCACATTGATATTTACACAGGAAGAAAAACCATTGGTCTATAAAGCCAGCTAGTTCTTCGGAATCGAGAAGGTTACTATCGGGTGGTCTGTTACACTTCGCCGTTGACGAACCTTTCCGCTTCAGAGAAATACTTTCGGGACAGGCTATCGATAAATTTTCTCACATAGCGGCAAAAGTTAGCACCTATGTTACTTTTTCTGAATCTGGAAATAATTTTGTTTCTGTTAGCTTTTAGTACAAACTGGAACTTAATTAACTCAATTCATCAATGAAAGCAAATACCTGAAGTCATTTTCTGAACAGAGAGTTTCCCTATTTTGGATGCAGTGTTACTGAAATCACTTATTTTTTTAAAAAGTGATTATCTTTAACAAAGCAAAAGAATGGAAAAGTTTGTTAAAAAATCGTTCAACACTAATTTTAGGACGTACTGCTTTACTGATGTTTTGCTACTGCTTTGAGCAATCCGAGTTTCTGTTAACTGAAGTTTTATGTTCGGTTAAGAAGAATTTTCTATACAATAGATACAATAAATTAATACTTTTAATTAAACTCATTGGGATTAGGAAGGATTTTGATAAATGATATTTATACTTAGGAAATGACGATACCCACTAAAATATTTATTCTAGAGCATTAAAACAGAAATTTACTGCGAAAACAATTTTAATGAGTTCGAACAATTTTTTTCCAGCTAATTGATTTTTGGAAAATAGAGGCTTCACCGCAAATACTTTTTTGTCAAAACTTTTGAAAACTGCATGCTTTATTTACGCTTCATTAGTTGCGAATAAACATGGAGAAGGAAAACTGTTTTTTCCGCATAAAAAAAAAAAATAATAAAAAAAAAAAACATTAAAAATATATTCTTACACTGAACTTACGGAACAGAAATTGGTCAAATATTTGTAATTAACAAAGATTAATTAATATTTGTAATAGAACGAAGATATTAACAGAATTTTTATGACCAGAAGATAGTACTTTCGCCTTTATAATCTGGAGTTGAACCAGTAATTCATGTAACATGCATTTAATATATAATTATTTTTAGTTATATTGCCTTAGCAACACCACAATTTAATTCTTGGAAACTATAATCATTATACATAGCACAGATTTTTAATTCTTTTCCTGTTGTCCAGTGCGCGCGTTAATAAGACTGCTGACCACTGGTAGCTATAAAAAATGTTTTGAAATAGGCACGATTAGAGTGAGAAGTTAATTGTGGCCACAAATGTAAGTTGAAATAAAAATGAATATTTTATCTGCTTCGGCTGCCCAATTTGCTTTTTGTTATGGATCACCCGGGCTCAAAATCCTGACGAACGCTGTAAAGATTTCCTTTTACCTGTATAGATTTCCAGAATTTTTCTAACTCTATGTGCATCATAAATACAAACCAGAGTGTTTTTAGGAAATTGGCCCATTAGAGGCTGAATGGAAGAACCGCTGAACATCGGTTGTTCGACTGGGAATCAAATGCCGGAGAATGGACTTGGCTACAAGGGAGTTTTCGTGGCTTTTCTCATGTGTAACGTAATTAGGAACCGGTTTTCCCTCAAATGTTCTCCGTAAGGCAATTAATTAGATAGCTTAATTATAATTTTTGTCAGAAAAAATTAATTATAATAAGAAACGTCTTCTCATCAAGTTACGTTTGTATTTCTTAAAATAAAGCCTAAAATGTAAAGGGTTTTTATTTTCCAGTGAAGAGGTTTGTATATATTTATGTAAGATAAGTAATACGAAAGGAAACTACTGGTTTTAATTTTGCAATAGCTCCTTCCTTCTTCGTTTTAGTATGGTCATTTCCCCTTTCCGTCCTTTACGTAATGATCATAACGTAGCTAAGTCGGAATTTAAACACGAAATTTGTAGAACCGAAACCTTTCTCTTAATAAGCTTCTATTTTGGATAACTGCGCGCTTACTTTCTGTCTCCACATGGGCATATCTAAACTGCTGCTTGCTGTTTCTCTTTTCTCTTCTTACCGCAAAAGCTATAAAAAATGTAAATGTTTTGAAATAGGCACGATTAGAGTGAGAAGTTAATTGTGGCCACAGATGTAAGTTGAAATAAAAATGAATATTTTATCTGCTTCGGCTGCCCAATTTGCTATTTGTTAGGGATCAGCATTTATACAATCAATATTCTTATAACATTATCTATCTATATGCTCACATACAAATCACCGAGGCATTTATTTTACACCTATTGTCTTTTGTACTATTTTCAGTCTTGCATCTTTTATTTTTTGTATGTACAGTATTTTTTATTTTTTGCCCGTTTTATATTTCCTAGTTTATTTGCTTCCTTGCACAATTTATTAGTTAGAATACATAAAAATATATATAGAAGAGAAAAACACTAATGTAAAAATATTTTAGAGCAAACTGACCAGTCATTTTGCTCCTGAAGAAAAAGGATATGGAAGTCTAAACCATTACCATTCTATTTGAGTCTACGCCAATCTAAATTGCATTCTGCGGGAGATAGTCAACTCACCAAGATGCGTTAGAAATAATGCCAGTCATGATAAACTTAAAATAATCCAGTTAAGGACATACTATTATCATTTGTCCAAAAGATTTCACAATAGCTAGAGGCTAACTACTAATCCTGTGATAAAAATTTGCAGTTATGAATTTACTAGTGCAAATAATGTTAAAAGGCAATGATCATCTTAAACTCATTTTAATTATTTATTGTTTTGCAGTTAAGTACGAATTTCGTGATTGTTATTATGTGATTTTCGTTGTGTTATGCTTATATACTGTTTTTCTGTGGCACCATGATTCCGCACTGTTCTTCCGATAGGACAACTTACCAGCTCGACAGCTTTCTTCCCTAAATTTTTGGCACATGTAGTGGTACTTTGTTTTTAATCCCTACATCACTTATATTTTAAGTTATTTTTGGCAATTATTTCGAACCTTTTAAGTGTATTCGGTTTGGGATAGGGCAAACACCTAGGTGCCCAGGCACCCAGGTACTTAACAGAATCTATATCACAATGTAAATTTAAAATTATTTTTCACTTATTTTTACCATAAAATGGTTTCTGTTAAGAGCACGTGTACATAGTGTTTCTTATTTTATGTAAGTATTCGATTGTTTCCATTGAAGATACACTATCAGTGTAACCCAGATATTTTTAGAATGTGAATTTAGTTCTGCATTATAGTGGGGGAGATTTATATATAAAATGTGCCATTATTTACTTTTCGTATGCACTGAGAAGTTAAATAGCTCGTTATTTACGTTTTCAAAAGTTTTTGGAATTGCAAACATATCGCGAATTTTATAGAAACATTAAAATGTCTAACAATTCTTAAGTAACTTCAGTATGGGGTTTATGGAATCTGAACTAATACATTTATTTTTAGAATTTTTGTTTCTAAAGGAGATTTACGCCATTTATCTCCTGAAATACATTTAATCTTTTTATAAGAATTAAGAATAGAGATAGAATTCAGCTTTTAGATTTGAAATAGTGTGCATCTGTTATATCATTCAACAAAAAAGTCATAATATTCCATCATATCATATCTATTCATTTTTTGCTGTTTGTTAGAAAATGAATGACGTGTACAGCTACTGTCAACGAGAAGGCTAATGAGGTAAATATCGTAATTT